CGCATGTCCTGAGCTCTATGGGCATGTGTCCTGAAGTGTGGCACAATATGCACACTTTTTAAAGCAGAACACTGACTTATGTTCATAGCGTTCCTACTTGGGGGACTCTCAGGAACTAATGCTGTCTTCCCACCAGGTGATCAGGACTCAGCTCTGAGCACAGAGCCAGGCCGCATGTAGCAGGGTGTTCCCTGGAAGAGAGTTCCACAAATGCTGACTCACTGATTAACTCTAATGAAAAAGCCGTGGGCAGTTTCAAGTCTGTGTAAGCACGAATGTTAAAAAGATCCCTCTAGACTTACAGTGCATTTTTCAATGTTCTGTCTGGAAGACGAATATAAATAGAACTTTCAAGATGCGTCTGGTTAGGCTACTTCTAGGAGCAAACTTCAGAAAAATCATTTAAAATAAAGAATTTAGAATTAAAATGATTCCAATGATTCCCCAAAGCATATTCTCCTTCTAGCCAAAATAGAATGGACTGGATTTACATTGCCACCAGGACCAACCAAAACTGCTCAGAAAAAAACATACAATATGGTTTTCAAGACACTACATGTCAGTCAGTGAAGGGCAGTACCTCAAGACAACGAGAAAAGCTTTGTGACAATGGCTTAAACAAGGATTCCTTAGATACACCACCAAAAATGTGACTCATAAAAGAAAAAATAAGCAACTGGGCTTCATTAAAATGAAAAAATCCTGCTTTTCCAAAGACATTGCTAAGAGGATGAAAAGATAAGCCACAGACTGGGAGAAAATACTTGCAAATAACATATTTTATAAAGGAGTGGTGTCTAGAATATATAAAGAATTCTCAAAACTCAACATTCCCATTAAAAACAAGCAATTCAATTTTTAAAAAAACGAGCCAAAGAACTGGACACTATACCAAATAAGACAAAGACAGTAAATAAGTGCATGATAAGATCATTAAACATTAGGGAAATGCAAATTAAAACCGCAGTGAGATTCCGCCACACAGTTATTGCAATGGCTACATCTAGGAAGACCAGTCGTACAGAGTGTTAGTAAGGATGTCGAGCAATTCGAACTCACTCGTCAAGGGAATGTACAACTAACTGTACAAGCACTTTGGAAAAGAGTTTGGCAATCTTACAGAAAATGGAAACACATTAGCCATAGGACCCAGGCATTCCACTAGGGGGGGTTCACCCAAGGAAAAGCGGGTGCTGTCCATTCCAGGACTTGTACACACACGTGCGGTGCAGCTTTCTCTGTAGCAGTCCCCTATCAGGAAACAACCCGCAGGCCCATCCACAGGTGACGGGACTGCAAAATGTGGGCTATCTGTACCATCCATGCTCCTCAGCCATGAGTGAGAACTAAGTACTGACGCATGCAAGAGAATGGATGGCTCTCAAAATAATTATGCTGAGGGAAGGAAGCCAGACATATACATGTATGATTCCATATATATGAAAGTCCAGAATATATAAACAAATAGATTATATAAACTCTAAAATATATAAAACTCTAGAATATATAAACTAATCTACATTGCCAGAAAGCAACTAGGGAGCAGTAGGTAGGAAGAAAGGTTAAAAAGGGGTACAAGAAAAGTTTTGGAGTGATAGATGTGTTCATTGTCTTGTGATGACAGCGTCATGGCGTCAAGCTTCTCATATGGTACACTTGAAATATGTTGAGCTCATTGTGTATCATTTATAACTTGATTTAAACAAACTAAAAAGAGCTCCCACAACTACATCAAAGTTACAACCAAACTACAGAAAAACCATCATTCAAAACCACCTGAAATCAAGCTGAATGGAAGTCCTACAACTACAAAATTAAAGAAGAAGCCACATTGAGACTGCAATCAAGACTCAATTACAATAGAAGGATGTAAAGTCCACACGAGGGGTGCACCTTGAGGGCCCAGCTGGGAGATCAGGGAGGCTGTGCCACTGGATCCTACAGGACACCTATTATAACAGGCCACCCTAGGAGTGCAGGAGACATAGCAACTCTACCTAATACATAGAAACAGACACAGGGAGGCAGCCAAAATGAAGAGACAAAGAAACAGGTTCCAAATGAAAGAACAGAACAAAACTCCAGGAAAAAAAAAAACTAAGTAAAATGGAGATAAGCAACCTAACAGATGCAGAGTTCAAACCACTGCTTATAAGGATGCTCAATGAACTTAGTGAGAACTTCAATGAACTTAGTGAGGGCTCAAGAGCATAAAAAAGGGTCAGTCAGAAATGAAGGAGGCACTAACTGAAATAAAGAATAATTTACACAGATTCAATAGTAGAGTAGGTAAAGCCAAGAAACAAACCATCGATTTGAAATATAAGGAAGCAAAAAACACCCAATCAGAACAGCAAAAAGAAAAAAGAATAAAAAAAAAATGAGGATAGTATAAGGAGCCTCTGGGACAACTTCAAGTATACCAACATTTGCATCTTGAGAGTGACAGAAAGAGAAGAGAGACAACAAGAAATTGAAAACCTATTTGAAACAATAATGATAGAAAACTTCCCTAACTTGGCGAAGGAAACAGACATACAAGTCCAAGAAGCACAGAGAGTCCCAAATAAGATGAACCCCTAGAGGCCCACACCAAGACACATCATCATCAAAATGCAAAAGGTTCAAGACAAAGAGAGAATCTTAAAAGCAGCAAGAGAAAAGCAGTTAGTTACCTACAAGGGCATTCCCATAAGGTTGTCAGCTGATTTCTCAAAAGAAACTTTGCAGGCCAAAAGGGAGTGGCAAGAAACATTCAGAGTGATGAAAAGAAAGATTACAACCAAGATTACTCTATCCTGCAAAGCTGTCATTTAGAATCGATGGCCATATAAAGAGTTTCCCAGACAAGAAAAAGCTAAAGGAGTTAATCACCACCAAACCATTATTATATGAAATGTTGAAGGGTCTTCTTGAAGAAAAAGATAAAAAACATGAACAAATAAAATGGCAATGAATACATATCTATCGACAATTTAATCTATAGACAAAATGAACAAGCAGAACAGAAACATTCTCATAGATACAGAGAACATTTTGTTGGTTGCCAGATGGGTGAAAAAGGTGAAGGGATTAAGAAGTACAAATTTGTTGTTAGACTGACAAACCTCAAAGGGAAGGGGGCTGGGCGGTAGGAAGAAATAAACCAAAGAACTTTTATGCATATATGCATAACCAGTGGACACCGACAACAGTGTGGGGAAAGGCAGGAGGGGGTGGGAGCAGGGAGGAGGGGGTCAACAGGGGAAAAAGGAGGAACATCTGTAATACATTCAATAACAAAGATAAGTTAAAAAAATAAACTAAACTAAAATGAAGATGACAAAAAAAAATAAACATACTAAAATGACAATGATTTTCCCTGGGGGGTTTTGCAGAACATTACCACATAGGATATAGCCACATGGCGACTTGAGATCCTATCTGGTGCCCAGCACTGTGCTGGCTCACAGAAGCAGCTGGAGACGATGGTGTGACACATGGACCAGGGGGTGGCCCCTGAGTTATTTCCACGGTGCTGCTCTGCTGCAGCCACAAAGATCCTGAAAGGCCACTGACAAACAGTTGTAACTTCTGTTGTCTCATTACCTGCAAATGGCTACAAAACGCATGATCTGTTATGTGTGTGATGACAATTACACACTCATTTTGACACTGCCCTTGTGCCTGCCCACACATCTGAACAGATGAGAATCATCAAGGAAGAACCACAAAGCGCCACTGTAAGCCCCAGTCAGAGGGATGTGCGATACAGGCATCAGGAGAAGGTCCCTGTGGCCCCGGTTCTCATGCAGATGATCTACGCTCCACGCTCTGGTTTCCTTTATTCCCTTCCATGTGACTTGCAGAATGTCATTTGCTGTGTTCCCCGAAGGCTTGTTTGCCATCATCTCTTATTTCTAACATTTTCCATTAAAGCACACTCTTTAGGCCACTGATAATTAGCAAAACTATCCATCCCTGAATTCACTTTCTGGGAATCTGACTCATGCCATAGAAACGTGCAGAGAAAGCAAAGGTCACTGACAGGCAGTGGGCCTTCCGTGCGAAACACTGGAGAGGGACCTTCTTTTATCGAAACCCACAGAGCACGAGGTCCCACTGGCACAAACCGGTTTCTGAAGGATGAACCGCTGGTTCCAATGGAATATTATTAAAACACTGGTCATCAAGCCTGCAGCCGTTTCCTTAACAACAGAAACATATCTGAAGATGAATTTCTTATGAAAATCTATGGGTTGAGCTTGGGTGATCAATTCTACCCTGAAAAACGTATTAAAACCTCACAAACATGAAAAACAATTAGGCAAGACTGGTACAACTTTTTTTTTTTTTTTTTTTTAGCCAGAATGGAAGAACACGCTTGCATAGTGAAACAAGAAGCACATTTTAAATGACATAACAGGGTAAGTGATCCACATCAGTGTTTTGTAGGAACCTCTAACCAACACCTCCACTGCATCTATAACTGGTTAAGTGAGAAGAAACAAGCTCGGAATTTCCTCTCTGCATTTACATGAAAACAAGAAACGTGACTCCTGTGAAGAACAATGAATATAGAATTCACATTTTGGCAAAGGTTGAGATGATCCAAGCTGGCCCTGGACCACAAATAATGTTTTTGAAAGATTGGGTTATTAGATTAACAGTTGTAGCAGATGGACACTATTTCTGCAATGGGAAAGCAAACAGTTCTACTGACCAAACATTTCCTAAACTGCAAGCAGGAATGTGAAACTTGACCTGACCTGGGCCAGGACACGGGTCCTGCCGTGTGGTGCCCATTTCTCTGGTCCTGCTCAGCGAGGGAAAGAGCCATACCCTTGACTTGAAATGAAAATGTCCTTCCGAATCAGGTCTCACCTCCTGCTGCCTCCCGCTGGACAACTGACCTCCACTCCTCCCAAGGTCCGAGAACTTTCTCAGCTCTCCCCTCGCCTTTGGTGAACAGGTGTGGTTGCTAGCCCTGCACTGAAGGGGCATCGAGGGGCAATACTTACATCATGCATGGAGTCCAGAAGCTTGGTCAGCTGATAGAACCTCTGCCAACTCTGCCCAGAATTGTTGGGACACTTCGTTACCATCTTCCTCAGTTCTTTGATGTAATTTGTCCTCATTTCTTCAAACGCAGCTTGGCTTTTGAGGCCATCCTTTGGAACTGTGTATAAGGATAACAGACAGGTCAATTCCCAGGATGGAAAACGGCTTTCGCCCTGGCCGGTTTGGCTCATTGGTTAGAGCGTTGGCCTGTGGTCCGGAGAGACCCGGGTTCGGTTCCCGCTAAGGGCATGTTCCTCGGTTGCAGTTTGGCCCTGGCCCTGGTTGGGTGGTGCAGTGGCAACCACTCGATATGTCCCTTTTATGTCCATGTTTCTCTCTCTCTCTCCCTCCCACTCTATCTGAACAAAAAATGGAAAAATGTCCTCTGGTGAGGATAACAAAAAGAAAACAGCTTTCACATCTTAGCAGTTAAAGGGCCTGGAATATTTTGAGGTTGTTAGGTTCACTTTGAGAACGATACTGAATCTCGATTAATTGCATAAAGTCCATATGACAGTTATCTAATGGTAACTCTTGTACACACACATATATACAAAAGAATAGTAATAACCACTATTTATCAGGAATATGTTATTATACACTTTGCATATATCAGCTCACTTAATCTTGACACCAGTCTTACGACATAACCATTATATTACTCTTATTTTGCAGATGAAGAAACTGAGGACTGGTGGTTTAAACACTAGTCCAAGGACACAATAAATGGCAGAGAGGGGACTGCCATAAACCTAGACTGGTCTGTCTCCAAAGCCTGCCTCTTGACCACAAAGCTTCATGGCCTCGTGGCCCATCATCAAAGTGTTTTATGTACCCTGACTTGCCAACACCTCAGAGGTAGGAAAACAGACTTTGATTTTCCAGGACAACTGGAAGAGCCACAAGCCACAGACAATCTAAGCTGGAGCTAGAATTAGAAAGCAGTGTCTTCATATTCAAGTTCAAATATCAAAGACGCTTGGGGAAAACTGGCCATCCACCAAGGGGAGAATGTGCATACAAAGAAGCACTTTCCATTCTCTTTGCCCCAGATCACATGACCCCTGGTGTTGCCATGTGACCTCCCAGACAACCTGAGGGGGTGGGGGTGCTGGGCAGCCAAGGGAAAAAGCTAAAACTTTCAAAGAGAATAAACCACATTCCTCTTTACCTTTGATAAGGTAGAAAATGTAGAATTTTATTTTCTTCTTTCCTTTATTTAGTGACTAGCTGACACTAACATTCTGAGTTTGAAACTGCTCTTACTGTCACTTAATGACACAACATCCTTGTTACTCTATCATAGCAGGATGCATAATAACTGACCAGGGTCCGTCCTCAGCACTTTGTACTGGCTGAGTCCGTTTCTGAATTATTATGTGCAACCCTGGAAGCCAGAAATACTACTGTTTGCAAATAAACCCTGTGGTCCTGTATAAAGATATGAATTATCTGGCAAAATTAACTTCACATATTATGCTAATAATCTTCTCCTTGAGTTTAATTGTTGAGGCTTTTGATTTGTGGTTGTCTAAGTCTACTTTTGTGGGGGGAAATAAATCCCTAATAGCAACTGCACAAATTCCTGAGGCTTCCACGATATTAGTTGTGGTTTCAAATATCTGACATTCACATTAAGAATCAAATGCCATCTATTATATACTGATAGTTTTATTTAAAATGAAAACCTTGTTTAGAAAGTATAAAAAAAACTAAAGAAGGATGGTAATAACCAGGATGTTAATATTAAAGCTATAGATTCGTTTTCTACAAAAATTTTACTGTTAACCTCAAACTTGCTAAAAGAAACTGAAAGTTGGCAAATAACAGCCTACTCTTCCCAACCACAACTTAAAAAAACATGTTTTTATTGATTTTAGAGAGAGAGGAAGGGAGAGGGAGAGAGAGAGAAACATTGACTGGCTGCCTCCTGCACACCACCTACTAGGGATTGAGCCTGCAACCCGGGCTTGTGCCCTGACTGGGAATCGAACTGGTGACCTTTTGGTGCAGGGATCGACACTCAACCACTGAGTCACACTTGCCAGAGCCCATATATTAACTTTTTAATTTATAACATTTTATGGAGTAAACCTTCTGTTTTCCAGTCTAGATATTTTTATGGGTATCATCCTATACATGAAAAATTTACCTAAAATTAGAATATGTCAATAAACTTCATGACTATATTTCAATACTATTTGACACATATATACAAATATTAACCAAAGACCTTCATATTTCTGATCGATGTGTTATCAGAAGTTCTCAAATTATGAACATCCCGTGTTAAATATTACTTATATGTTACTGTGGCGACTGAACTATATCGTACCAATTTTCCAGCTAGATATCTTAGAAGCTGAAACAAACCCACAAATAAAGAGCTCGCAGGCAGAGCCTCCGATTCGGGAGGTCTGCCAGATTTCCTGAATGTCTTATGAAGCAGCACGGGCTGCTGGAAATCGTCCAGAACCCATGGCTGGAGCAGAGCAGAGAGACCCCGGGCGGAAGTGCGTCTGCCCTCCTTCAGGGGCAGGACAAGCCCCAACTTCTTGATGTCACTGCTGAAAAGTCTCCTGGAACACTGGACATCAGGTGTGCCACTTATCTTCTTAAGTAAGAGGAAGGATGCTCAGGCATTCCACAGATTTGCAAAGTAAGTGCACTGAAGCCCGCCGTTTCTGTGATTCAGAAAATTCTTGTTTCCCTCTCTTTTTATTTTGCTTTTCCTGCATCTATAAGAAATTCAGAATGGAAAGTACTGAGCTCCTTGGAAGCTAATACAGCAACCTGGACAGCTTCACAATCATATCAGAGTTGATCATAGGCTGGCTGGATTAAATGCACTATATAAAAGGGTAAGACGCCAATTAAATTTGAGTAGTCAAAATTTATAAAGCATTAGTATCACATAGATTTTTAGAAAAAATATTTAATTTAAATTTTCTATTATCTGGTGTGTGGCGTGTGTGTGTGTGTGTGAGTGTGTGTGTGTGTGTGTACAGGTACACATTTAAAAGATCTTTCTAACCAGTAATGGTTAACGACAGAGCTTGGAAAGAGGAGTAAGATCAGTCACTGACTTTAAAGACTATTTCCAAGGTTACATTCCAGAGAGGAAAACGAGGACCCGAGGGGCACCCACACCTTGAGGGATCCCGAGGTGGGGACAGAGCCGGGAGTCCTGACCCTGCAGGCAGATGCGGGCGAAGTCAGCCCTACGGGAGACGGGCTGTGTGCAAACAGCGAGGGGTGGGGCCTGTGGCAAAGGAGGGAGCATGCCCTGCCCCTGGCAATCGAACTCCATGAAAATAAAATAAGACAAAAGGCCAAAAGCAACCTAAGAATCCTGACCTGGCCAAAGGAAACACAGCTGCGAGGTGTGGCCACCTCCCTGCCAGGCTGCCGAGGCCCCTCGGCAGTCCACTCCGCCGGCCCGCCAGTCCACGGCCCCTGCGGCGGTCACTGCACAGCCCCCCTCCGCAGCCCTGGTCCTGCTCCCTGCTCCTGGACGCGAAGCCCACCCCCGGGGGGATCCTAACTCACAGGGGACACTGCACAAATGTCACTGTGGGCCTTTCTGTCAGCTCCACCACGGGGCAATTAATCTCAGAGGGCTGTTTTCGGCATTAAATTAGATAATATATGAAAGCACCCCAAAAACTGAAAGGCACTAAACATATATGAAGCAGATTCTTTTTTTTATCCTCACCAGAGAACATTTTTCCAGTTTTTGTACAGATAGAGTGGGAGGGAGAGAGAGAGAGAGAGAGAGAAACATCGACGTGAAAGGGACACATTGAGTGGCTGCCACCTGCACGACCAACCAGGGCCGGGGACAAACTGCAACTGAGATACATGCCCTTAGCAGGAACCGAACCCGGGTCTCTCCGGATCGCAGGCCGATGCTCTAACCGCTGAGCCAAACCGGCCAGGGCAAAGCAGATTCTTATCCGCTGTCACCACCGCATCCCTGATCCTGCTGGACCTGAATGAGGCTCCCTCTTCACAGACCCAGCGCCTCTTCGCTGGAAATAGCATCTCTTCTTACTATTCTATCCTCGTTTCCTTGATGTCTCTTTCCTCCGAAGGACTCTACTGCACACTGCCCCGTCTCCCAACCCGATTCACGAGCCAAGGGAGGGCTGGGCACACTCTGGATGCCAGAGCATCTCTGCCCAGGCCAGGTGCTCGGCCACTCAACAGCTGCGAGTCCTCTGACGTCCATGCCGCACGCTCGGCATCCAGAACATGCCTCGGCTTCCTCGGTGGCCGCAGCCCGCAGCCGAGGGGTTTCCTCTCAGAGTCCCCTGCCACCATTCCTGGCCTCGCCCGCATCTGACGTGAGCTTCCTCAGATTCTTTCCCCTGCCTGAAAATGCCTGTGCCCTGGTCTGCGAAAACAGTGCTCGATATCACTGCCAAGGCTAGTCCTATCCTCTCTTGTCTCTCTGGCAGCTTATGCCATCAACTCGTACTTGGTTCCAGAAGCCTAACACAGCTCCCCATCCATCTGCAGGTCCCTGCCCGATGCCCAGTGGTCAACTCCGGCAGGCGTCTCTCAACTCGCCCTGTGCACACCCGGCTGTCAGTCCTTCCCTCGGAGGAATCCAGTCGTGGCCTCTGCCCTGTTCACCCTCCCTGACGGCTGTGCCCCTGCAGCCTGGGCCGTCCCCTTTCACGGGTCGACTGGACCTGTTCTCGTCTTTCTGTGGCCGGCAACCCCATCACCAACTGAGTCCAGACTACAGTTTCCTATAAGGATAATCCCAAGTTTATATCTCAACACCTGACCCTGTCTTCTGAGTTCCAGTCCCAGATGAGCTCCATCTTTTGGCTTCTCTATTAAGATCCATCTAAAAACTAACATCCAAAATAAAACCCACTTTTTACTCCATAAAACCTGCTCTGACTCCCAACCAGAGCACGTTTCTCTCCAGGGCATCTCTGCCGTCCTGGTCGTTTCTCTGGGCTCCAGCTGTGTCACTTCCGACCCAGACCATTTTCACCTCCTCTTCCGGTCAGTTGCCAAGGCCACCTCTGCGGTGTTGCCTGAACGCGTCTGCTCCTGTCCACCGTCATCCGGGCATCATTCCGGCAGCCTCGCAGGTCTCTGTGCTTCCCGTCAGGGTCAGCTCTGTGTCTCCCGTCCTCTCTAACCCAGCCTACTTCCAGACACACCCTCGGGCATGGAGCACAGCGCCCTCACGCCACCCCCCCTGCCCACGGCCTCCAGTGTCCTCTGCCCACCTGGCAAGGCCAGGACTTCAACAGGTACTGGTACCGGGTCCAAGCTACATCCCAACCCACTCCCCATTCCTCCCCAGCCCAATGTAACCGGATATTCCTTGAAAAATTAAATACTTAAATATATTAAAAATTTAAAAATCAACAGGCAAAACAACTTTCCAGAGCTAAGTGCTATTGCCTGGTAGGGGTATGGCTACTGCCTGGTAGGGGTATGACTACTGCCTGGTGTGGGTATGGCTTTGCCTGGTACGGGTATGGCTTTGCCTGGTACGGGTATGGCTATTGCCTGGTGTGGGTATGGCTATTGCCTGGTGTGGGTATGGCTTTGCCTGGTAGGGGTATGGCTTTGCCTGGTAGGGGTGTGGCTTTGCCTGGTACGGGTATGGCTATTGCTTTGCCTGGTACGGGTATGGCTATTGCTTTGCCTGGTAGGGTATGGCTACTGCCTGGTAGGGGTATGGCTATTGCCTGGTAGGGGTATGGCTATTGCCTGGTAGGGGTATGGCTATTGCCTGGTAGGGGTATGGCTATTGCCTGGTACAGGTATGGCTTTGCCTGGTAGGGGTATGCTCTCCTGCATTTCCACACTCCCTCACACAGTTACCTGACAGGATTCCATCCCAGGCCTCATACCCAACCCCCAACCCTTCCAAAGCTCCCCAAGATTCAGTTTCCCCCTGCCTCCCTCTCTGATCCCCAGAGCTGACCATGCTGTTCCGTCTCCAAGCGGCCATGGCTGAGTCTCTACCACAGCCGCAATCCCTCTCCGCACTGTACTGAACGAGGTCTGCATTCACCGACAGTACAACTCCCCCAGGGCAGAGACCGCGCCTCGTTACCCAGTGTTCCTGAAGGAATGCAGGGACGAGCTCTTTCGTACCCCCACGCTTCATCCTCTGCCGGCAACCTAGCCCATCAAGGCCCAAAGCCCGCCTCCCAGCTCCTCAAATTCTTCCTTTTTATTCCAACTCCCCGGTACCCGAAATAGGCTACTCCCCAAAGGGGAGATGGCCCGACAAGGGAGCGGCGTGCCTGGGTGGGCATCGGGTGGCACGACTCACTTGTGCTTAGCAGCAGCAGCACTTTCATGATGGTGTACTCTTCAAAGGTGAGCTGCAGGCGGACGAACTGAAGGCTGATTTGGTGCATCCCCTGGCACAGCTCGTACATGGCAGACTGATGCATCTTCTCTCTGCAAAGGCAAAGAAAAAAACGTCTGAGATCTCAAGGTTCGTTATGAAACCAGACTAGCAGCCCGAGGCAGCCTCGCGAGCGATCTGAATCAGTCTTCCTTTTGGCGTCAGCATGGAACAGATGCCCATTTTGAAGACAACCTGGGTGCCTTTCCTAGGGACTGGCACATCGCTTCCAGACCAACACTCCATGCCATGTACTAGCGCCCTGGAAGAACGTGTCAGGAGCACTGAGACCAACCTTTCTCAAAGTGTGCCATCATTTCATTTTGTGCTGAACAATAATGACTGAGGTGGTGTGGTTATCGTGAGATCACCCAGGGAGCAGAGAAGCCGCTGTGACGCGGGGTGAAGCCCACAGGCTTGGTCCTTGTCAGTCACACACCAGGCACTCACTGTTTGGAACACAGGATAGTGAGGACCAAATCTAGTTTCCACATGGGCCCCTTACAGAGGTCCTGAAATTTGTTTCTCGACTGTTTGCAGCAGCATGTTTAAAACGGGAAATGAAACAAAATTTGAAAAGGTGAGAACCTTGACTGGAACTTTTTGGTAAAGAGAGAAATGACATGGGAGTTTGCACATGTTTCCATTCATTCAAACAACCAACCGAACTTCTTCCGCCACAAAATCCAAATCACAAAAATCCACGTTGTATTATGACAAAAATCATTACTTCCTCTTCTCATAGGAAGGCAGGCATCACTTGGTGTTTGAGATGTATTTGCTCACAGTAATACATCTTTGGGAAGGCCGTGGCTAACCGCTGCTTTATATGGACTAGACTGTAATTAGTGAACACGAGACCAGGGAAAACTGGGAAAGGGCTTGACGAAGGCCAAAGAAACAGAAAAAAGGTCATGATGGCTGACAGATGTCTATGAATGACCGAAAGGTGGGCATCAGTAGGAAAGCAACACTGTGATGCTTCTTCCAGGAAGCACTCTTGGATTCAACTGGCAGAAATCTCTCTCATCTCAACTCTGAAAGCCACTTGTAAAAAACTGATTATGCAACAGATAACATTTTTCTCTCTGTATTTTTATTTTTATTATTATTACTATGTCTTTCCTCTCTCATAATAAGCTGGAAGCTATTTTCAATTAAGGGAATATTTTAAACACACACACACACACACACACACACACACACACACACACACACAGAATAACAGCAGGAACCCATGCATCTGCAATCTAGAATTAACAATGCTAATATGTCTGCTGTATTTGCTTCAGATCATTACAAATTAAACATGAGAGAGCTCAGGTCTACTGTGTCTTCCTCCCTGACCCCACCCATGGGCCTCCTTCAGGGGAACCACTCATGGTGGGTGATGATCATTCCCTCAGATGTGTATATTTTACTGCACACGCGTGTATCTACAAACACAGCACACAGTGCTGCTTTGTTTTATGTAAATTTGAAACTAAATATGCACGTCCACCTGCAACCTATTTATAGTCAACGTTGTAATTCTGAGATGTATCCATTTTAACACCGGTAACTCTAAATCCATTCATTTTCATGGCTATAGTTCTCATCACTTGTGTGACTAGAGCCACAGTTCACTCATCCACTCCACTACTGATGGACACTTGGGTTGATTCCTCTTGACTGCCATTACCAGCGACGCTCGAGAACACCCCTGGGCACCCCTGCTGGACACAATGCAAACAGAACTGCTGGGCCGTAGGTCTGTGCACACCTGCTGCTCTCCCTCCAACCAGGAGGTGACAATGTCCCTTTGTTCCACATCCCCACCAATGCCCCTCATTGTCCAATTTAAATGGCCTGCCATCTGATGGGAGAAAGGGGAGCCCCACTGTTGATTCTCCTTGCATTTCCATGATCACTGGTAGGCTGAACATTTTTCAAATGTTTTCTGACCATTTGAAGTTTTTTCTTTGGTGATTTGTCTCTTCATAGCTTTACTCATTTTATTGTAAGTATTTTTCTTTCTATTACTAATACCATCTTTTAAAAAAATATTTTATTTACATATTTATTATTTTTTAATCCTCACCTGAGGATATGTTTTTTAAATTGACTTTTAGAGAGAGAGGAAGGGGGAGAGAGAAAGAGACAGACAGACAAGACAGACAGACAGAGACCCATCAGCAGCCTCCTATCCACACACAGACAGGGGATTGAAGCCAAAACCTAGGTATGTGCCTCGACCGGGAATTGAACCTGCCACCTTTTAGTATATGGGACGACGATGATGCAACCAACTGCGCCACCTGGCCAGGGCACTAACACTATCTTTATTCCTTATATATTTTACCTTAAAATTTTTTAGTGATATTCATTTCCTTCCTTCCTTCCTTCCTTCCTTCCTTCCTTCCTCCCTTCCTTCCTTCCTTCCTTCCTTCCTTCCTTCCTCCCTCCCTCCCTCCCTCCCTCCCTCCATCTCTTTCTTTCTTTTGCTCTCTTTTTAAAATATGTCTGGCAAATGCCAACCCCCCCCCCTTTTTTTTTATCCTCACCCGAGGACATTTTTGCAGATAGAGTGGGAGGAAGAGAGGGAGGAAGAGAGAGAGAGAAACATCGATGTGAGAGAGATACATCGAGTGGCTGCTACACACACGACCCCGACCAGAGCTGGGGAAAAACTGCAACTGAGGTACGTGCCCTTAGTGGGAACCGAACCCGGGTCTCTCTGGTCCGCAGGTCGACACTCTAACCACTGAGCCAAACCAGCCAGGGCCAGGACCCCCTCCCCCTTTTTAAGTCCCTAATTTCTAAACTTCCCACAGAACTATATATCACATGTCTCTTATAAACAGCAAAAAGATAGATTTTAAAAAATCTGAAAATCTTTGTATTTTCATAGCTCAGTTTTAATCTGTTTTCATGTATCATGATTACTAATATATTTGGATTTTTTTCTACCATTTTAACTTTCTCCCCCACCCCACCTCTCTCTCTCTTTCTTTCTTTCTTTCTTTCTTTCTTTCTTTCTTTCTTTCTTTCTTTCTTTCTTTCTTCCTCTCTCTCTCTCTCTCTCTCTCTCTCTCTCTTTCTTTCTTTCTACTCTCCTTCCTTTTATTGGGTTGGTGCCATGTTTTAAAAAATCCCCCTCTTGGCTCCTTGATTAAGAGGTATACACTCTATCCTTACTGTTTAAATAACTAAGTTATGAACTTGCATACTGAAACATCTAAAGTTAATCAACAGCTTTTCCATGAGAAAGAGAGAGATGTAGCCTGCGTTATCTTTGGTCCACTTCTTGCCTTCTTCCAGGTTACCGCTCTTTAGTGTTTAAATTCCAACTTGTTTTCCAATCGTCCCTGACAGCTGTCTCTCTCATACCCACACCCCATGTCTGTTTAGTTTCCAATGTGTCTCTCTGGCCACCACTGTTTCTTCATTTCCCTCTTTACTTCTGGGTTCACTTTCTTATTGAAGATTTTTTTTTTTTATTGTTTGGAATTCTTTCAGTTGCTGACTGTTCATCTTTCAGTCCTATGTTGTCTGAAATGTCTTTCTTTCACCTTCCTTCTGGAATGATAGTTTAAAAGCCACAGGTCTCTACCCTGACAGGTAATTTCCCTCAGTCCTGAGAAGAGGGTATTCCACCATGCCTGGGCCTTTCCTGCTGCTTCTAGGAAATCTCTTCTTCATCTGACCGTCATTTTGGACAGGTAACTTGCATTTTCTCTTAGGTAGCTTAAAAAAATTTCCTCTGTTAATCTGATGCCTGCAGTTTCATTGTCAAGTACCTAGTGCAGACTGAACCTTATTTCTCCTGCTCAGGGCTCAGTGTGTTTGTTTGTTTGGAAGATGCAGGTATTTCTTCAGTTCTGAAATGCTCCGAGCCATTGGTTTTCTGCCATCGCCACCCCATCCGCCTGTTTTCCTTGCTGAGCTCCTGGTAGCCGTGTGTTGGACCTTCACATTTGGTCTTCCATGTTAACCTCCCTTTCACATTACTGAGTTTCTCATCACGTTGTACTGCATTCAAGGTAATTTTCTCAGATCTATTTCCTAACTGTATCTTTCTTTTTCCGTGTCCACTCCCTTTAGTCTGCAGTGCTTTAATTATCATGGCAATATCTTTCATGTCTAGGTGCCTAGAAATGCTGTCTGGAGTCCTTTTTCAAACTTACGTTATACTGCATAAGATATTTCTTACTTTATGGTTATTATGTCTCCTTTCTCTAAATTATATCTTTACCTATTACAGTATATCTAAATAGTGTTAACGTATTTATTTTCTATTTTCTCCCAGAAATTTTTATGCAGTTTTTGGGGATGCTAACATGCATGTTTGGGCACATATCTGTGCTGTGGGTGAGTCCCAGGGCCACTGTCTCGTGGACGGGCCTCTGCCAGAAGTTTTAGCATTTGTAACTGTCAGTGGTGTATGTGTTTCACATGCTCTGGACCAGTGTTTATGCTCATTTCTCAGCTTGAATTCTTTTTGCGAGACTTGTGTAGTTTAAATTTAGACTCCACACTTCATGTGGTCCGTGCAGGCTTGTGTTTCTTATTTCTTCTAGCTTCCTTGCCATGTGCCTGGGCTGGCTGGCTGGTTGAGTTTTACTTTCCTTGTTACTAGACAGAAGACTCTTTACAGAGCCCTGGCTCAAGGCAAGGGGCTTGTCTCAGACCCCGGCCTTGCTGGAATTTCATTCTTGTCTGCTGTTCTGGTTGCTGTTCTAATACCTGCCTGGAAGGCATTCATCACGCCCAATAGTTTGTGGGCCAACTGTAGCTTTAGCTCCAAGTGAAACTCTGGCTGTGAAGTCCCTGCTCTTGTACATTTTCTTTTTTCGTTTGAACTTGGCTATATATTTAAGGCTTTTTTTTCTTTTTTAATGCAGCATTTCTATGTGTTTAGAGGGGAAGAACAAGGTTCATTTCAGCTGTACCATTCTGATCTCTAACTACATGCTTCTTAAAGGCAGGCTCTGGGTCTGGCTGAGCTTCTGAATGTCAAATAGAATATGACAGACGACTGCCATGTGTCAAGCTTTGTTCAATAAATATTGCA